AATCAGATGAGTTCTGTGAATGACCCGACTAAGAGGGTGTGCTTGGAACAGAAACTGCCTCCTTGACTGGTTCCAACGTTGGCTTGTGAAGACTGGAGTTCTTAGGATGAGGATGAGTGGGGGTGGATATGGGGACGGCTTTCTGGATGTTTATGTTGAGCCTTCTTAGTTGGTGGCTCCGAGGAGCTACGCTCTGGAAACACAGGGGAAGAGCCCGAGGCTTTCCCTATATTTTTAATGGACCCAAGGTTTGCTTTAAGAACCACTGGAATGGAGATGGTTGGAATTGTCTATCAGCATTAGACATCAGCCACATGCTCACATCTTTCTCTCGAGCAGCACCAAATAAAGTCTTTTCTCAGAGCACTGTTTTTAGGCTGAAAATTCTATTGTGCCTCGCTGAGGGAGTAAATTGGTGACAGAGCAATACGACATGCTGTGCTCTTCGCCAAGGCATAGGAGGTATTTCTCAGGGTCATCTGTGTGGTAAATTTTCAACCTGAAGGACCCACATTTTTTAAGAGAGCTTTTTGCGCCATTTCTGAGGTGCAAGGCTCTAATGAAGGCAGGAATGAGTTAGAGTTGTTGGCAGTTTGTGCTGTGCTGGTTGAAGAAATGATGGCGATTCTAATGGCTAATCTCTCTTTGCAGTGTGATATAGAGGGTCCCTCTATCTCACACTGCAAAAGGCAGGAAACAGCGTGGGGGAGGGGGACAGAGCTTCAAAAACTTCTCTGTGGTAGGTATGTCTATGTGCAGCTCCCATGTACAGGTACCACGACAATGAACTAGAGTACATGGCATGTACATCGCGTGGCATGCATCCCACAACCTTAATTCCATGTCCTCCAGAATAATACAAGGAACTTGGTCAAGCAAATCTCACCCTCCATTTTTCTTTGGCTTTTCACTAGATGATCAATTATCTTTGTAAGGCCATTGTGTGTGTGTGCGTGTGTTGGCTAACAAACGAACATTTCCCCAAAAGTATGTAGACAACTCTACCTTGATTGGGGGTGGGGGGGATTTCACTCCTCTCTAATTGTACACTGGACTGTCTCAGGCACCCTTATAGCACAGAAAAGCAGCATGTAATTTCTAGAGTAAAATAAATCACTAAATCACAAGGCTGAAAGTTCCCCATGTCAAAAAAGACCCCCCTTGCGGAAAGCTTGTGTGCTAAGAATAGTCCTAGGAGATCCCCCTACCATGGGCTGCTTTTATGCACACAGTCACAGTTCCTTTTCGATCAGAAAGCTTCTCCACGTGTAACAACTCCACCTGTGTTTCAAAGTGGTGCTTCCTTGGCCTGTAGATCCACTGTCAGCCTCTGACCTGTAGGCAGCTCTGCTGGGCTGTGCCTGCATCCCTCAGCTTGTGGCATGTCTGAAGGATGGGAATTAATCTGCGGGTCAGGAACGGGCCAGGCGAAGGTCCCTTCTAGCCCCAGAAAGAGATACACTGAGACCCACACAGGCTGGACCTATTCTGTGGCCGCCACTCTGTATCTCATAGCCCTCGTGTGGAGACTACATGTTGGCAAGATCAATCTACAGAAATGCAAGAGAGGCATCAGGCCTCTGCACATGTGCAGCAAGATCCCCTAAGGCCATTCCAGACCTCTCTGCACATGTTCATATGATCAGCATCAAAGGCTGGTTGCAGTGCAGGCTGAGACACTGTTCACCCACGTGGCAGAGAGCAAGCCTTGGGACACGAGCAGCAAGACATGCTGCAGCCTGAGAAGGGTTTAAAACGAGATGAACTAGTTTTTTCTTTCTAGTCTCAGCAAGACATAAAAGCAACAAGAAAACAAAGGAAGGAAGGAGCTGAAGATGCTGAAGTGATAAATGAGGCAAAAAGGAGAAGAAAAGAACCTGCCTCTCAGTAGTTTTCAGTTTTATTTAGACTGATCATACTCTGCCCCAAAATTATCAGAGTAGATTGTACACAACAGTTTATATCATATAGTTCAAGAAATGCCACCAAGTCCTTACAGCCTGGAAGATGGAATATGAAAGCTGCATGAGGTCAGAGTGAGTACATATTTCACATGCAAGAATGGTGCTGTCAAAACATTCTGTATTATTTCTTTTTTATTCTGCACTGCAATTTACATTATTATTTCATAAATCAAGTCCAACAAAAGCTCTTTTATTTCCAAGGCAATTTCCCTCCTCTTGCTTGTTGCTCTATTGGGGGGGGGGGAAGTAGTACTGGAAAGAGGAAGGGAGATCTATCCCTCTCAAGCCGGGGAGGTTCAGTTTGGGGCATCTTCAAGGGTAGTCACAATACTTATGCATTTCTTCTCACTGCTGTCTTTTCATGGGCCTGCCAGCTGAACGGATTACTGTATCAAGAGGCCACTATTCCACATCAAGCAGCTCTTGGCTAGATTTCTATTCCCCACCTGAAATTATTATGGGAGGCAGCTTATGCCAGGGGGTCCCCTTTGGTAAAAGGAAAAGCTAAAAACCTTCAGGTTAAAATGAAAGTGCAGGCTCATAATACTGACCTCCCACTTTTGCACTTGCAAAACGTGAACATGATGTCATCTCGGACGCACTGCCTGAACCAACGTTCTTGCTGCAGGCACACAGTGAGATGTGGAAGCAAGCCATGGCGAGGAGGCTCTGTTGTTGGTCAGGCCATTACGTTCAAGTGCCTGATGCCAGTTAAGTACTCCTCAAGAATGTATTTTATTAAGACTTGGAGAAAGGAAAAGTTCTTACAATGGCCAGCAATGAGAGATACAAGGACCAGTTTAAAGCAATATTATATCATCATTCAGGGCTGGGATCTCATGGCAGAAACGCCAGGATCAAAGTGATGGAGGCAAATAACCTCTGCTGGATCTGAGGGAAGTGGAGAGAGACGCTACACTAACCACATGCCAAGGCACTAACATGGGAGAAAACCTCCTTAGGAGCAGCTTGAAGTGTCCAGCAGTCCCACTGCCATATGCCCAGGCTGTACGGGCAGGTCTTTGTTTAGCACAGCGTATTAAATGTCAGTGGACATAAAATAAAGGCATATGTTATGGTAGTCCTCTTTACATGGGAAGGGGCAGATAAATAGGAATGGGGCATAATCATTTGGCAAATTCTCTATCAAATTCATAAAGGATGTGAATAAGGAAATCTGTTTTGCTTGAAATGAAATCCATCTGCCTGGATCCAGATTTCTCCATGAGCTCTGATGGTCACCCAGGGCTGCCTGCCCCAGTCAGATGGATGGGAAAGCTAGCCCAAGCATGTATCTGCGTGTGTGCTCCCTGGTACGCTCAGGCCTACGGAAAGGAAGGCCTGTCTTTCAGTTTCTACACATAAAATACTTTCAGACAAAGGAAGAAAATAAGAACTTGAATAACTAAGAACAGAGTTTATTACTCTTGAGAGATACAAAATGTATATAGGAACTCCATTAGGATAATCAGAGCAGAAGATAGAAACAGTGAAACTGTTCAGTGGTTGTGCAGAAAGATATGGCATGCACTAAATGCAGGTAAGAGCAAAGACTTAAGAGTGCAAGTGCTCAGCTGTGAGCCCCCATTTAAAACAACTACGATCTACCTTGAAAATTCCCGAGTTTTCCAAACACACACACACACACACACAGAGAAATGTGCATAACTGGGCCTTAAAACATACTTCAGATATTCTCATTTTGATGTGACCAATTACCAGATGGTTTGAAGTTTAATTTTAATCATTTTCATGGCAGCACTTATGGAACCTGCTTTGATTATTTCAGAGAAGATGGACAGAAGAGGTCAGCATTGGTTGGCATGTAATGATCAGGCATGTGCAAATCACACAGACAGAACAAATAACAAAACTAGCTCAAAGAGAATAAAGAAGAGTGCACCGGCACTAGACAGTTGCTTGCTATTGGAATCGTGAAACGTGGTTCAGTGCAGTGACTTTCACAAGACCCAGCTCTTGAAACCCACACGAAGAGGGCAGGGCCTGAGCTCAGGAGGCAGAAGAGGCTGCCGTCACACACACACACTTAATAAGCCACTTTCAATCCACTTTCAGTGCACTTCCCAACTGGATTTCTACTGTGTGAACTGTCAAAATCCAGTTGGAAAGTGGATTATTGCGTGTGTGTGTGACCGCAGCTGCAGAGAGAGTCCAGACAGACGGGTGAGGCATGTGGCAACAGGAGGCCCTTTGCGCTGCCACCAAAGGATCCCACCAAATGTGGTATACTTTTCAGTGGGGGGGGGAGTCAAGGGGGAAGAGCACTTCTTTGTTAGGGGGCTTTCTCCTCATAATCCTCAAAGGATAGCTGCAAATATGTTTGGAAGTGCGTTTCTGTATAGAACACATGCCTTGCGAGAGTGCACTTGACTCTTAAGAAGTAGCATTTCCCCCCCACCTTTCCAGATGCCAACATGATACACAAGTTAAGATAAAGACAAGCAAATACTGCATGCGTGCATTTACAGAGTATTTTTTGGAAGTTTGCATGCTACCTTTTACATGGACTTTCCCAACAGAAGTATTGTTATCTGCAACATTTAATAAGGCAATAACGCTTCTACTTTAACACTGAGAGCACATCTAAGCAAACAGCATCCCATAGTCTCAGTACGATGTTTGGAAAATACAGGTGACACGGATGGGCTACAGCTCAGGCTGGCTGGTCCTGCCCTGGCTCCTACCTGCAGAAAAGACAAGCAGAGTACCAGCACAGGGTGCAGCCGCTGGCAGACGAGGGTAATGGAGGGCAGCTGCTGTGCTGGGCATTAATTTGTCCCTTCCAAAATCACTGTCCGGAAGGGTCCTACCAACGGGTTTCAGCATGTTTGTAAACAGGAGAAACAATTTTAACAGAGAATCACTTCTTATCAAAACAAAGCTTGCGTCCAGTGGCACCTTTAAGACCAACAAAGTTTTATTCAAGGTATAAGCTTTTGTGTGCCCGCATCTGTGCCCTGAGTAAAACTCTGTTGGTCTTAAAGGTGCTCCGCTGGACTCAAGCTTTGTGCTGCTGCTTCAGACCAACACAGCGACCCCCACCTGAATCTAACTTCCTATTAAAGACAGTCAAAATCTGGGAATACCCGATTGCCTTTGTCACTGGAGGATTTTTCTTGATTACCTGTTAGTAAAACGGGGTGGGAAAGTATGGCTTCTGTAAGAGGGCTTTTGTCTGAAGAAGTGGGTGGAAGCTGCAGCGGCAGCAGCGTACTGTTGGGACTGCTAATGTCCCCCTCGGACACCAGAGTCGTATCTGCCATGTTCTCATCCTCAATAGTCTGTATACTTCCTGCCGGCAGTTCTTTGGACTGTCTTTTCCGTGAAGTGGCAGGCTGGAAAGGTAGAATGGGAGAGAGGGGTGTGTCGAAAGGAATGCTGCAGCTCTTCTGGCTGTTTTGATTGGCTAGGACCACCAGTTTCTGTTTACTTTCTGAAGGGCCAGTTTTGAGTGTTGAGCTTTCACCGCTGTTTTTCATTAAGTCTGTCTTGCCATTTGGCTGCAAGCCTTCCTCCTTGATCGCGGTTTGAACAATTATCTTGTCACAGTCTTGGGATCTTTCAGGGGTAGGGGAAGAGAGCGCAGCTGCACAAGGACGCAAGTGAAGAAAATCAGGCAAAACCAGGTCTTCTTTTCTCAGGAGCCCTCGCTGGTCATCTGCTCTGTTGCTTTGCACTTTGGAGATGAGTTCAAAAAATTCTGTTCAACAAACCCAGAACAGAACAGACTCAGTCAACACTGCAAATGTTCACTGCACCACACAGTTATACTCTGAATTCTTTGCTAACCAGGCAGGCTTCTCTCAGTGTTTGCCAGCAACACTGACAGAAGCTGCCAGTTTGCAGTAATTTGCTTTAATCCCCCGACCCCAGTCTGCTTTTGAGTCTATAAAAAACAATATTAAATCCTAATAATTTTAATAGCTGTGCATAGGTGTATTTTTATCTGAACCAGAGACTAGTTGCTTATATGGTAGTTAACATTTGCAATACACTGTAGTATAAAGGCAGCATAACTAGGCAAGAGATAACCAGAACAGTCCCACTGGCCTCATCTATGCTGCAAAACAGAAAGAAAAACCACAGATATATGCAGATTATTCACTCTGCTCAGAAAGACAGATGGAAAGTTACATCTTCATTTACCAAGGAGCCTTGCAAAACAAAGATTTTGCTTCTTTCCAGTGAAATCCAGAAATAAAGGTATACACACCAGAACAGAACACTCAATCTACTCTCCACTGTTCCCTGTGAAGACATATGCAGCTGCACACATGACTGGATCGGGTGCCCTGACCAACTCCTGCCCTCCAATGCAATCTAGCTAAACAGTTCTTCATGGTATTTTTTGGCGAAATGTTCTAGCGTTTCTATTTTTGGTGAAACAAGGAAAAGATTAATCTCTATGCCATTGAAGACACCAAGACAGACATTTTCCAGGTACCAAATAATATCACTCCCCAAATATTTTACAAGTAAAATGACTGGCAGTTTGATGCTAGTCCCTCAAGTACTTTAAAAATGGGATATGCAAAACAAGAACAGTTATACAGGAAACTAGTTAATTTCTTTATTTTACGTGACAAATAAAATATTTTAAAATTACAGCCTGTTCATATTAAATTAAGGTTCAGCATTTCACTGATCAAAGAAAGACTCACAGGGTTTTCCATACTGCTTGTCTGTCCTGGCTTCGACTCTGGGAAGCAGGTTTTTTCCACCACTTCCCCACACAGCACTGAGATGCTTTTGTGCACTTCCCAGCTTTCCAAAACTTGCTTTACTAAGATCTTTTGGGAAAGATCACAGTGAAGCCAGAGCGACTGCCTTTTGTGTGTGTCTGTGTGTGTGCGTGTGAAGTCTGGATCCTCCCAGTCCTGTCCACAGAGGTGCTATGCTACACACACCAGTCCCCCCCCCAGCAATCATTCTTTCTCCTTGCCAGAGTGTGTTTGTGTGTGTATGTGTAAACATTACAGAAATACACATTGCCAATGTACAAAACAAAAGGCCCTTAGCTGTATATGGGGTGGGGGATGGCTGCCCTGGAGAACATGGGCACAGAGAACACAGGAAAACCCACCATGAAGAAGGACCCCTGCAGCTGCACTGAATCAGCAGCCACAGAGAAACCCTCCAAACTGTTGCCATGTGGGAAGAGGCTAAGGGGGACTTGACCAATCACGTATTTTTAGCATTAACGTTGAGTTCAGTGGCATCTTTAATCAAAAGCTCACACCAGGAATAAAACTTGGTTGGTCTTAAAGGTGCCACCGGACTCAGACTTTGTTCTGCTGCTTCAGGCCAACAGGGTGACCCACCTGAATCAAGTAGTAACATTACTAGCGAAAAAAGCAGTTCATTCATCAAGAGGTCTGATAGCTATGCTAATTAACTGTTACTGTGAGACAATATAATTAACTTTTGTCTTAAAAATATAAAAGCTAAGAAATGTCACTATAATGAAGTTTTTAGAAGGTGAAGTGAAGCCTGTAAAGTGGCATTCCTTCCTGGATTCATGGCATATTTGAGTGCAGAAAAAAAAGCAGGGGTTGAACTTACCTGCCACTGTTGTTCATCATCATCAAGTGGTCTTTTGTGCAGGTGCACATGGGACTGCCTGGGCATGCAGGCCTGCCAAGGAGGTACTGAGTTAAAATGCTTTTTCCTTCTAGCGCTTTCCCCAGCACTAGGAGCACTCCCTCCCCCGCCGCCACCTTGGTCAGTCTTTCCTGCCTAAACTGACAGCATATATTGCTTTTTAACGCAATACCGCTACAGCAGGTCTGCATGCATGCGCAGTCCCATGTGAGCCTGCACAGAAGAAGCCACAAGGATTAGTAACTACCAGGGCATTAACCCTATATGAAATTGACAAAAATATTCAAGCAGGACGATAAAACGTCTTCAGTGAGCCCACACAGGCTGCACCCTTCGGAATCACACAACTTCTTAGATCTTAATACCACAGATGCAGTTACCACACACAATGCAATTCTGCAACAAATATTATTTATCTTCTTTACAAAGGAAGTATTAACATTTTTTGGTCATTTTAATGTTTGCGTCTTAGTGGCCAAGAATTTTGGCAAGAGGCATGAAGGCCTATAAAGAAAACCCGGGGGGGGGGGGTGTCCTCACTGATCGGTAAATTACTGCAAGGTTTTTTTTAAAAAATCCACTTAGGAAATATTTTCATTTTTAAATGAAAAACAAAATACTTTTAAAGGAAAAGTTTTAAACTATATCGCTTTTAGCTGCTCTATCAAAACGTTATTTAATCCAATCTACAGTACATCTTAAATAATTTCAACGCCTGAATATTGCAGACATGGACACTACTCCAACCCTCTCAGCTGCTTTGGTCTCCTCCGTGTCTGCAGCATGTCAAAGCTCACTCATTTATGCTTGGAAGGAAACACAACAGATCAATAAACAAGTCAATGCATATACGTGTAGAGACATTGGTTTTAATATGCGCAAACTTTCAGTTCTCTGAAGTCCAGGCAAAAAGTGGAAAGTTCAGGCAGGGAACTATTGATTCTGATTGGAGAAAAATGCCAGACATTATAGTATTTTCAAGGATTCATTGTTTAAATGATATGATACAGATTTCACGTAGCTAATTCATAGTCACTAAGACACTTACTACATGTGACAATGATACACTGCTAGTTTAATAAATATACTCAAACCATTATTTTGTGTGCTACACTAAAAATTCTTAAAATAGCAATGTAAGTTTAGAACTTATATTAAATTGAATATTTTACCCGAAATGCACAGTTTCTGGTAAAAAAAACCAAACAAACAACAAAAAAACAAACATACAACCATTTTTTCTCAGTGTCAAAATTTCCAGAAATTTTATGTTTCTAATTTTAATACAGAAAAATGATAACCTATAGCTTTGCTGAAACTCTGAACACAAGACATCCTTGGAAAATACCTAGACATTTCTCAAAATAGATTTGAAAACAGTTGTCTTCAAATTTGTGCTCTAGTCTGAAACCACACACCAGGGCTCTAAAAGTGCAATCCTAAATCATTCCACCTTTTTATCCCACTGATGCCAGGGGAAGTAGGTGTCCCTCTGCTTAGGGTACTATAAACAATATAGTTAGACACAGATATAAGCATAACATGAAATACACTCAGAGCACAACACTATAAAAATACAAATACAGAAAACAGCTTTTAAAGCTCTGAACTAACACTATAAAAAAGGTAAAGGTTCCCTTGCTTGAAAGCCAGTCTAATCCAACTCTAGGGTTGTGGTGCTCATCTCTGTTTCAAAGCCGAAGAGCCAGCGCTGTCCGAAGACATTTCCGTGGTCATGTGGCCGGCATGACTAAACACCAAGGCGCACGGAACGCTGTTACCTTCCCACCAAAGTGGTCCCTATTTATCTACTTGCAATTTCTTGCTTTCGAACTGCTAGGTTGGCAGGAGCTGGAACTAGAGACGGGAATTCACTCCGTTATGCGGCACACTCGGGTCTCGAACTGCTGAACTACCGACCTTCCACAGCCTGCAGTTCAGCGTCTTAACCACTTGAGCCACCGCAGCACCGAACTAACAGTTAGCAGCAAGCAAATAACTTCTAATTTCAGTGGCATTGTTTCATTAGGTGTAATCGTGCCGTTATTCATGCACGTCTGATATTCTCAAACTCTCTCCATGGATCACACTTTGAGTGTCCCAACTTATTCCTTTACCCAAATGGATAAATGACCTGCTTTCACATGCATTCAAAAGCTTTCTCAAGCAGTTTCCCTTCTGCTCTGATCAAGCTGGTTACAGTCTGCATTGCACCCCTGTGCATCCTTCACAAGCATTCTTTACAACACCCCCTCCCACCTTCTGACGAGGATAAAAGGACTGAGAGATCTTCATTTCTACTCTTCTGTGTCTGAGGAAAGGAGCTTTGACTCTTGAAAGTTCATACCCCAGAACTCTTGGGGGTCTTGAAGGTGCTCTTGGACTCAAATCTAACTGCACTGCTGAAAACCAACACAGCTACCCTCCGAAACGACTTCCACATAGTGACTCTCCACACCCAGTTCTAACGTCAGGAGGACTGGTCATACTACAGCAAGGTGTGGACACCCCCCCACACACAATACTCTTCCATATGGGCATAGTAAAATGGTGACTATTCCTTACTTCTCATGAACATGCTAGATGAGGAAAGCCTGCCTGAAAAGGTGGCAGGGAAACCTACAAACATCATGATGAAGCTACTCCACCCCCCACCCTCCCCACATGTCTCTCTCATCCTTTCCCTGTTGTCTCCAGGACAGCCTTCCTTTTCACACAGACCCCACTGAGCCCTGTTCTTGGGAACCAGGACCTGTGCAGTGATGTATGTTTGCAGATGAGCCCTAAAAAACAACTACGGTAGCCTCCTCCTGTGCCTCTACCAGGTGGTGGACCTGGCCAATCAGTTGTTCAGAAATAGCTGTTTCTCACCCAGCTTGAACGGCTAACCTGAACTGATAGATGAAAACTAGTCTAAAAGTCAATTATGCATCAATCACATGCTTAACCACCACTAGAACAGACTCTGGCAGCGTTCCAGAAACAATAATGATATATGATTTAATATGATCTAATGTGGCGGTACTGCCGAATGTGTCCTTAAATTGCACCTTAGTTCTATCGCGATCTAATGAATGTTTAATGAATGTTTTATATTGATTGCTGTGTTTTAATTGATGTTTTATAATCTATTATGAATGTATACTGCTTGTCAGTTCTTGGAAGCCGCCCTGACCACTGCCTAGCGGGGAGGGCGGGGTAAAAGTGAAATAAATAAATAAATATGAAGAGCAAAAAAAATTCTGCCACGGCTCATGTTCTACAGGATCTTCTGGGATTTTGGTGGGCATGCTCGGTTTGCATAATCCTGAAGCTCAGACAAAATGGGGGGGGGGGTCCAATTAAGAAAGGCAGAAGGAAAACATTCTATTCTCAACAAAACCATTCTACAGAAGTTTACAGCCACTGCAGAAATGGAAGAAAATGGCTCAAAAATACAAAATTAGCTTATGCTTCTGTTTTTGTATCTCCAAAATGCATTCTATATAAACACACAAGCACAGGTAATTCCAAAGTGGATTAATGAAAAGCAAGAACATACATCTGATATTCATAATATAGCCTTGCTTTCTGCAATAATAAAATAAATTATTGTATCACAAAATATTACGTTTACCAGGAAAACTGATACTGTTTCATATACTAAAAAAGTGACATACCCTCTGCTTCGTCCAAATTAATTTTGTGACACTTTTTTTTCCCAGTCTGTGCAATATATTCTTCTCTTTTTGCTAGACGGGTATCCCTAGCATTTTTTCCACTTTCTCCTTTTATTTTAATAGAATTAGACTTTCCTAGAGTTCTTCCCTCTCCCTGTATTAGAAGGAAAGTTAAAGGGCTACTTACATTTAATTTATAGTGCAAAGTTGATGTAATCAAGTCTTAAAATTGTATTTGATATTTTACTAACAGTGCTGAGATTAAACATAGTACAAGCATTTTCAGTAAATCATGCACAACCACCACAACAGCAGAAGAATCAAATCTTCACACACAGACACACACACACACACAAATGCAGCATGTCCATTTTAATTGCAGGCTCACATATACTTTGACCCTTTGATTACTGAAGTTCTGGGCAAAAAGTTGAGACTGCACTTGACACAGAGGACGTGAAGCATGGTTGTGCATTGGTGAAAATAACAGAACAAAAGAAGAGGAAGAGCATATGATATTAACTGGAATAAACACTTTTTCACCTGCAATTTCCAGTTTGGGAAGCAAAGTCAAAACTGAATAATAACTGGAGTGACAATTTCAAAAAACTTACTGTAGATGCTTGAGTCCTTGCATTAGAAGTTGCAGCTGCATTGTGTTTCAGTGATGCCCCCTTTCCCTGGTCTGCAAATGGAAGATATTTAAAAATACATATACATATCATGTCACTTCCTTCAAGGTTTACAATTAGTTCTCACTGACCAAGAAGAACATGCACGGAAGTTGGTTGGATCCCAGAACTTTTTTGAGGGTATCCTAATTGTCTTTCATGCCTGCTCTCTCAATGACTTAGATCCATCTGAACTAGTATTGTTCAGTAAAGAAGAAAACATGACTGAGCATCTTTGACAGGAGCCAGACTTCTTTTACCTAACATGACTTGAACTTCTGCTATCCAACTCCTCGAAGAGATAGGGTGTCAAATAAGTCTGAATCTTCACCTGCTCAATAAAATACCTTGCTTTTGTTCTCTATTTAGTTTCCAATCCCAGTTCTCCCTTGGTTGGTCACTCCCAGACAATATGGGCTTCCAGGATCATGCTGTTTTTCACCAGTTACAAAACACAGTTCACTTCTAGTTGGCTACTGACAGAGTGCAAGCACAATACGAAGTACTGACTTGGTCTACAGAACACTGAATGACTTGATAGAACTTTCCCCTCTTGAATGCGCATATGAGGCTGCTGGGTGAAATAACCTGGTGATGAGGGTATAATTCAGACTGCTGGTTCTGAAACCAAAACAGCTTGGATTGCTGGACCTCAGAGACCATGTCCTCTCCACTGGCAGCCAATAAATATATAGGTAGGAGTACAATCCTATGCATATTTTCCTGAAAGTCCCACTTCTAAGTAAACATACATAAGATTACACTGCAGGAATACTAGAAATGTATGTGTGCTTTCTTTTAATGAAAGAGTTGCAGAATTTTAACCCAATAACAGGTGTGAAGGAATTCATTTTTTCTTTGGAGGTTGAAATGAGCAAAACCTTCACTTGGTGTTTTAAAAAGTTTTTTTTCTCTTTCTGGGCAGAGAACAGGCAAGGAGGAGGAAGTCAGTCAATGGCTTTCCAGGCTCACCTCAGCTACTTCTTAAGAAATGCTAATAGGTCTAGTTAGAGACAATAGGAGGGTCCAGTCTCCCCCTCCCCTCTTCAAGCAGGGAACAGAGATTTGGAGGTGTTAAATACTAGAGAGACTTCAGGAAGGAACTCCTGAAGATCTCCAGGAAAAGCTTTGTTGACCCAGCCTGACCTGATCAGTGGATGGGGAATAGAGGTGATTAACCTCAGGAGAGCAAGAAGGAATCTCTCTTTGGTGCTGAGCATCAGAGCAGATAGAACTCTTAACTGAGGTCTGGAGGAGGTGGCCATTGACCATGTGCTGGCCTAAAGAGCTGGAAGAAGCTGCAAGGTAATGGTAACTCTGTAGAGAGCTACAACATCCTAAATTAAGGAGCCTGTCATATATTTAAACATCTGATAGGACATGTATAAAGACGTTATATAAAGACGTTATATAAAGACGTAAAAAACCAGCTGTTTTGATGTCAAAGCCTCGTGGGAAGGGGACTACCAGGTGTATGGGGCGACATCGGAAGCCGCAACCAGAGGAATTGCATTTTACCCATTTTTATTGAATCCCTTGCTCAATCTGGTGCTGTGCTAAAAGTACGCTTGTGAACATTTTCTTATTAATAAATACTTAAGAACATAAGATAACATAAGAGACGCCAATGTTGGATCAGGCCAAAGGCCCATCCAGTCCAACAGTGGCCAGAAATACCAGGTGCCATCAGGAGGTCCACCATGTAGTTACTTATTAACTTTTGATGATGGTAGTGGTTCTCTGTATCATGTAGACCTTCATCAACTTGGACACACTATTTTAAAAGGTGCACTAAAGGGAAGGCAGTCAGTTGGCAAGTGGTTATTCCTCCAGGGGCACACAAGGCAGTGACCAGGCACTAGGCAGTGGGAGACACAGAGGCAAGGCCTCAGAACGGGAAGCTAAGCAGGCAATTCCCTACAAAGGTCAGGTGGTGGCAGTAGTCACCTGACAGAGTGTCAGCTATGCTGCCATATTGTTTACGGACTGAGGGGGCACCCACCTGACCTGTGTACATCTGGGTGCCGCATTCCTTTCTCTGCATAGCTTCTCCTGCTATCTGTAACCTTGTACCCCTGGCTAGTTGTAGTGTCCTCATATTAATCAACCGTGTGACTGGTTTCGTTTCCCAGCTCAGCTGCATCGGTTACTCCTTCCCGCCCACGGGAACCAGGCTGATTGGTCCTAAGTGTGTGTGTGGGGGGGTAGTTTGAACTCTGTATATCTCAGGAAGCTTTCCCTTTTTCCTCATTCCTAACAGTGCTTGTGTTCCTGACCAATAGTACTGACAATAAAGTATATGCTTCTTGGAAGACTGTGCTCCATTTGTTTGACTGTTGGACCTGACATTCTGTTAGGAATCCTTCTCTCCTTTTTTCCCGTATCTCTCTCGCCGAGATGAGCGGGCAAGAGGAGAAACCCATACTGACAACAACTAGGAGTGAGATTCCTACAACCCAGCCCGATGTTCTGGTGACTACTGCGGACCCGCTAACGACCACAGGGGTTGGGATGGTCCCGAAGACCATGTCCGCCCACATCTTCCTGACCCCGAAAGCGTCGGGGCGGACGTATGCCCCCGGGGCCAAGCAGTGGGGCCAGTTCCACCTAGACTCGACGGAAGAGACGTACGTCCTCACGAGGGGCCCCAGACGTGACAGCCGTTTTGATATCAAAGCCTCGTGGGAAGGGGACTACCAGGTGTATGGGGCGACATCGGAAGCCGCAACCAGAGACTGGGTAACTGGGCAGTTGAAAATCCGCAGCGGCCGCACTTCTCCTAGTGAGGAGGAGACGGGTCTGACTAACAGGCTAGAGACTTTGGAACGAACCCAGCAACAGATGCTGCAGGAGTTCGAGGAAGTGATCCTCTCCATCCCGGAGATGGTCGTGCAAGCGATTCAAGCCGAATGCCAGGCGCTGCAGCCTGCCCAGCCACCAGCACAGGTACCTCCCCCCATCCTTGCTGCTGGAGCCGGACAACCGGTTCCCAGGGGGGAGCTCTGCAACTCACCAGACCCGTGGGACCGTCACTGTTGGGGCCAGGGGTCCCGCAGCAGCCGGGTCCAGTAGGGCCAGACCCAGGAAGGTGTCCTGAAGCCTGGTCGACAAGGAGCCGTGTGGAAAATTATGGCGCCAAGCCAGAAGACGTCTACACCGGGCAGTTGTCTTCCCTATCCCCTACAAAACATTGTTTGTCCCTTGTCTATATTGAGTAACTGTACATCGCTTTGAGCCCACTGGGGAAAGCGATTAATAAATGGAAAGTATTATTATTATTATCTCCAGGTGAAAAAGACCAAGTTGTAGATGATGTGAATGACCTCACCTGAGACCCTGGAAAGCCACTGCCAGTCAGAGTAGACGATACTTTGACGGGCCAAGGGCCCACCTTGGGGAGGCTCTGTCCAATCCATCTGGGAAATTTGGGTCTGGTTCTTCCTTTCCCTAGGTGTTGCATGATTCCCTGCTGTGCCTGGAAGAATGGCCTGTCTTTCTCGTTTCAGCAGGGCCGGCCTGTCATAGACAATTTTTAGGCAGCGGCCTAGAGTGGCCCCTTGAGGGGGTGCCCCCCGGGTGTGCCACCCCACCCTCACCTAAACAGGGTAATAAATCGCGGGCCACTGCCCACCTTTCTGGGAGGGCAACCTGCTTGCCCAAGGGGAGGCGAAGGCGCCTTGAGGAGCAGCCTGGAGCTGGCCCTGCCTCTGGCCGCCGGTGGGGGTGCTTCGCTTCACAATCGCAGGCCATCCTCTCGCCCTTGTGCCTCCGGCCAGCCGGCAAGGGAGACTCCTGATGCACCTGCCTTTGCCGCCCCGCTGCCTTCTTCCGCTGGCTGGCGGGACCCAGGGTGCCTGCGCTCTGCCCACCACTGCTGCCCCGGGCTATATCTGCGCCACCTCCCTCCACCTGCCTGAGCTGGCCCTACCTGGCGGCCACCCCACCTCCAGCCCTACGGGGCCCCGCCAGAGCCAGTCCCACTGGCTGGCCTTCAAGCAGGGCCCCAAGCCAGGCCAGGTGGGATTGTCGGACCGACCCCTGGCCTTAAAGCAGGAACGGGGATGGTGGTAGTGAAGGCCGGGTCAGGCACACGCAACAAGCACTGGCGGCTCCCCATGGCCAAGGAGCAGCTTTCCAGACACTCCTCCCCCGGCAATACAGAGATCAGGTCCCCTTGATGAAAGGCGTGCATTGGACTCGGCTGAGCTGCCTCCTCCCCAAACTCTGCCTTCCCCAGCCTCCCCACCCCTCCCCCAGTCCCCAGGAATTTTCCCCAGGAGTTGGCTACCCTGTTTAGACTCCAGACACTGGAGGAAGCCAGGAACTCCTGGCTTTGTTAATGGCCCTGTTATTGATTGATTCATTGGTGTTTTTATGTTTATTGATTGTATTACTGTAGAACCAGATCAGGAGCAAAGACACTGGGATTGTGGGCTTTCAAACCCCTAAAGGGTTCTTCCTAAAATGCATTTATGTTTGAAAATTGGTGGGCACACTGGGGGGGGGGGCCAGCGGTGCCAGAAGGTAGCCTCGCCTAGTGTGCAAAAAAACCTGGAGCCGGCCCTGCCTTTTGGAATGGGGAGGAGGAAGATGTTCTCTCAGACCTTATGCCTAGGGAGGCACTGCTAGATGGGGAATGTCTTCCCTGTCTGACAGGTGACCTTGTTGGTGTCCTTCTGCTTTGGCTGGTCTGACTCATGGCCTCCTTGATTTCTCACCTCATTTCCTCCATAACCCAGGCTAGGAGGCTGGCCTAGGCATTAACCCCAGAGACAGCAGCTATGCAAGGATTGAGCGATCAATAAATTGAAAGAAAGATTATCTAGGGAGTGGGCTCTTTCCCTCTCCTTATCCGGCTTGGACCCAGGAATGGAGGTAGAGGCCAGAGAACTGGGTAGGTCTAGCTCAGAGACCATGCTATCATGGGGCTGGGAGGTAGAAAGGCCTGCCTTTGACTCCTTCCCCAAAACCGAAAGTGAAAAGCTCTCCTCTGCCACAAGACAGGCCCTTCGGAGAATAAACTGGACTCCTTCCCCCAAAACTGAGAGTGAAAAGGTTCCGGAGGGATGGGAAGGCCGTGGCTGTGGCTGATGCAGTCTCCTTGCTGGACCCAGCCCTTTCGGCAGTTTAGAGGCCGTGTGGAGGCCTGAGGTGCTTCAGTGTGGCTGCCGCCAGCACTTCACACAAGCTCCTGGCCCTAGGGCTGGAAATCCCGCAGCAGTGCCTGATCGTAAAAGTGCTGTGGTGCGAGCGTAATCCTTGGCACCGTTGGCTCCCGGTTTCTCTATGCCACAAAGATGCAGAGCAGGGTACGGGGCAGAAGCCCTTCCTGCTCCCTGCAATTCCCTCCAACCTTCTGCTCTCCGAACTGGTGACTTGCGAAAATATCCTTTAAGGCACGCTGGTTAATGGGATCGCTGTGCTCTGAAGAGCACTGCCAAATATGTCCTGCTGCTAGCCAGGGCTGAACAAACTGGAGAGTTCTGGGATAAGCCCCTCACCTCTGGGGTTGCAAAGATGACGACCCTGCCTGCAGAGAGGAGGAGCTACTATCCCAGAAGTGAAGACTGCCCCACCCCTAGGACCACTGGAGTATTACTCTTTATTTGTTTGTTTTACTTTGATTTATATCCCACCTTCCCCACATAGCAGGCTCAGGGCAGGTTACATCAAATTTGGTAGAAAATACAATATACAAAACACCAATAAAATACAACAACATCATTCATCCGGTGCAAGTTTTTGTGATTATTTTGCCCCAAAAAGGGAGGGGGCATTCTAGTTTGATTTCTATTTTCCACAGGACCCCATGTTGTGCGGCGGGAACTGTATTGAGAGCCAAATTAGGTGTGTGCTCCCTAGAGGCAAGGGCTTCGGCATCTGTGTTTAGATTTTGGATCAAGCTAACTTTTGCCTCCTCGGGAACGGGTGGGCTTTCCTTACTGAGGATGGATGCCTTTAAAACAACTTGGCAGAAATTGGTAACCTCCCATCTGGATTGGCTGGAGATTTCCCCTAATAATATTGATTGTCCCATTCTGACTTCTATTACAAACCTGATTTTGAGATGCCTATATGCTCTAGACGAGTTCAGTACCAGAATTTGGGCAATCATTTGTTTGTTCTCCTATTTGGGACTGGCATATCCAAAATCTAGCCCAGTGTATCTTGATTACTTGACGGTTCCTAAATACTGACAAGCCTTTATGTTGGATCATTTTAATTCAATCCCAACAGCAGAACTTTCTTGCCATTTTGGAAGGATTCCATTAGATGATAGACTTTGCAGCTGTGACACAGGGAGTCCTGATACCCTGCTCCATTGTTTATTGGATTGTCCAAAATTCCATAGGTATAGAATCATGTTTGTTTCCCCCTTTTTAAAGGATCTGGTTTGCCTCCCAGCCCACTGCTACAGATTTTTGTGGCTGGAAGTGAACATAATATTACTCTGGCAGTTGCCAAATTCTTTTCCTATGTAATCAAATCTAACTGATAGATCTGGACAAATCGATGCTGTAGTTGTTATGGTTGTATTTGTTATCCTTATCCTTATTTGCTTTTATTATTATAATTGTTATTTCATTGCTGAATTGTTGAAGCTGAAGACTGTAGTTATAAGAGCAGAGAATAAAGATTATTCCTATTTAATGTGTGCCAGTATTTTTAAAGGCCCGGGGGGGGGGGGGAATCAAGTGTTTTGGATCCTCAGGGCAAGGTTATCAATATGAACAACTCTCCTTGCTGGCTGTCAGGAGCCACAGCGAATGGGAGAAGGGACTGCCTAAAATCCAGACTACCCTTCAATGTTCTAAACACCCTTCATGAGTTGTAGACTGTCTCTATTAACAAGTACTTAGTTAGGCTCACTAAACTGTTAGAAATGACATAATTTCAGCAACACTTACCTTTGCCCTTTATTGGCAGCTTCTCATCTAGAATAACCCGCTGTCCGTCCAGATTAGAGATGGGAACACCAAGGTCTAATGGCTCCTCATCGCCATTCTGTGGTCAAATCACAATTTCATTTCAACAGGAAAAAGTACTTATTTCAGAGCAATTTGATCTGTAGCCTAGCATTCAAAATTCACAGTGTCACACAGTATTGCTGTATTAGGAATAAATTCACAGTGGAAGAAGAAGAGGAATAAATAATGATTTTGAAAGTTTACAGAAGACATTTAGAGATTGCACTGGCTGAGCTTAGATGTCAAAATTGCAAGAATTATATTCATTGGAGAAAACAGTCAGCTATGTTAATATTAAACAGGACATGGATAATTTAAACTCTAGTCCAAGGTTATTATCATTTTTACTACAAGACATACCTAGATTAACCAAGAAGGCATCCCAGGGGATGTCCAGCTAGGAAGACAATTCCATCTAGTGGCCGTGAACGGTCTTTAGGTAAGTCAGGATGGCAAAGGGATCAACCACGATTATTAATTGAATTAGCTTGGAAGCTGCTGTGAATCAGGACCAACAGTGAACTATATAGATACTATAGACCAGGGATGCCAAACATACAGCCCACGGGCTGGAACTGGCCAGTCCAGGGCTCATATCCAGCCCACAAGCACCTGGCTCTCTCTTGCCTCCTTCCCCATTGCCACTCGCTTTCGCCCATCTCCCTCAATCGAGCGGGGAGATATACAAAGCCAGGCCTCCGTCTCGACACTGGCTGAAGTCTCCTCCCCCCTCCTCTATTATTTGCTACTACTGACTGATGGGAAGGAAACAGTGAGCAAGCGCGAGAGAACAAAGTCTGAGTCCAGTGACACCTTTAAGACCAACAAAGTTTTATTCAAGGTATAAGCTTTCATGTGCACAAACACTTCTTCAGAGAGAGGGAGGGAGGGAGGGGGAATTTGTCTTATCAGCACAATTTACATTGATATTGCCCTGCTCTGCTGTTTACTTTGAGACTGAGCATGGGTTGCCTTTGGTCACACACATGCACATTAAAAGAAAGGAAGGGGGCACAGGAAAGAGATGCACTGGGATAAGAGGAAAGGGGAATTAAAAGGAAATTATTTTGGCTTATTCTGAAAAGGTTTTTTTATATTAGATTTCTCTGTGTCTATCTGGAATTTTATTTTCTTTCAAAAAGACCCTAATTAGGAATCACAACACTTGGATTGGATTCAATTGTTTAATGACTGGAAGTAGATGGCTAAGTATTTAAAAATACAGTTATGGTTCCATATGTTCCAGTTCAACACATCTCCCTCTCTCCCCTTCCACCTTGCTGGCTGCCTTTCTTCACATTAACCCCGCCCCCCACTTTTCTAATTGTTTCATTACCATCACTAGCACTGTGTGGATTTTGGCCAGTGGAAATCAACATATTATTTCACTTGGAGAGATCCCCTTCTCCATTTCTACAGATGAAAAAGAAGAAGAAAGAAACCTAACAGCAATCTTTATTAATGGAAAGGAGTAAGAGTCCAGTAGCACCTTAATGACTAACAAAATATGTGGCAGGGCATGAGCTTTCATGAGTCACTGCTTGCTTCTTCAGATACAGCTAGAATGTGAGTCCATCGGTCCTTATAACTTGGAGAGTGGAGTGATTTCAGATGCCAAATGACAAAAGCAGGTGTTGGTAATGAGACAGGAAATCTAGATCTCAATTCAGTCCAGGAGGATGCATTGTCTTGAACTTAATTATCAGTTGCAATTCAGCAATTTGTCTTTCTAATCTCCCTTTGAAATTCCTTTGTAAGAGAACTGCTACTCTTAACTCAGCAACTGAATGTCCTGGAAGAGTAAAATGTCCCCCCATTGGGTTTTTTAATGTTGTGGTTTCTAATGTCAGACTTAGATCCATTTATTCTTTGCATCCTCCTGGAATGAATCCTTCTGGACTGAATTGAGACCCAGGTTTCTGATCTCATTACCAATGCTGATCTCTCCATGCTTACTACCCCTCTGCTACTCTTAGCTCAGCAACTGAATGTCCTGGAAGAGTAAAATGTCCCCCCATTGGGTTTTTTAATGTTGTGGTTTCTAATGTCAGACTTAGATCCATTTATTCTTTGCATCCTCCTGGAATGAATCCTTCTGGACTGAATTGAGACCCAGGTTTCTGATCTCATTACCAATGCTGATCTCTCCATGCTTACTACCCCTCTATCAAACCTAATCCAATCAAGCCTGCTATTGTCATTCACCTGCTATTGCCATTCAGTATCTGAAATCACCTTTATAAAATTTATATCTCTGGTACCTGGCGTTACATTTTATGACACACATGGCCCAGCCTGACACAGTGACATTTATGTAATTTCTGGCCCTCATAACAATTGAATTTGACACCTCCGCTACTGTTTGGGATCCTATTGAGATTCATCTTATTCTGCTTCCTCTTGAGTGTGTATACAATGCTGATGCAAACACAATGAAGGCTGCTGGTTCTGACTTACAGAGACTGAAACAGCTTGGATTGCTGGACCTCAGAGACCATGTCCTCTCCAATACCTCACCGGCAGCCTCTTAACAAAGCCATATTCAATTGGAAAAAGCAAGAAGAAAGACGTTCTCAGCTAATGCCCAATACTATGGAACTCTTCCTTAGGAGATTTACCAAAAGGCCAAACTTGAGCATCATTTAAAAGCAATGTGAGACTTTTTAAATTTGCTCTGGCTTTAGGCAGTCATGGCCAGGCTGGCTGGCATGGGTCCTATATTTTCATGTATGTACTTATGAACGAATATGTCCACATACATGCAAATGTACACACACGTACACACTCCCCCCTTCCTTTCACAGTCCAGTACACATGTGCATGTACAGCCTTGAAAGAAAGATCAATAATAAAGGATAAGGGACCTTAAAATAAAGTAGACTAGAATTCCTGTATATAGAGAGGACTGCTAAGTACCTGTACCTCCGTTGCATGGTGATTCTTGCATAAAGATAGTACCGAAATCTTAAATTTCTTCTGCAGATAAGCAAAACTAAAACATTTAACTTACTTTAATGAGTTACTTACTAGCCTTGCCACAAGATGATTAAGATTTAAACCATATTTTGCAACTACAGGCCGGAGGACTTCTGTTACCGGTTTGGTGGGTTTAGCCTTTAAGCCAACAGATCTATTGATAGGAACGAGACAGTCTAGAATACATTAAAAAAAAAAAAGTAAAAACAAACTGTGTTAAGCAGTTGTTATTAAAACCATAATAATGCTGAATTCTTTCTGAGAATCCAAATGAACAAGAAGCTGTGATAGTTGGATTTTACCCTATGCAATGCTAGTAAATAAGCACAACACCTTCTCAGATCTACTGCACCTTACAGGATTTTGGGGAACTACAGCAATTATTGCCTTTTCATCCTATGAAACAAGTGTGAATACATCTGAGCTACTTGCAGGGTTGCCATTCCCCAGGTCCCAGCGGGGGTCCCCCCACTTTTGGTGGCTTTGATCTGCCACCAGCCAGCTGGCCAGCAGGGAACACACCACCCCTAAACAAGGACATCAGCGTGTGACGCCCCGATGCAATGACATCACTTAAGAACATAAGAGATCCCAATGTTGGATCAGGCCAAAGGCCCATCCAGTCCAACACTCTGTGTCACACAGTGGCCAGAAATACCAGTGCCATCAGGAGGTCCACCAGTGGGGCCAGGACATTAGAAGCCCTCCCACTGTTGACCCCCCCCCAAGCACCAAGAAGACAGAGCATCACTTCCCCAGAGCCCCTATCTATACCTTGTGGCTAATAGCCACTGATGGACCTCTGCTCCATATGCTTATCTAATTCCCTCTTGAAGCCGTCCATGCTTGTAGCCGCCGCCACCTCCTGTGGCAGTGAAATCCACGTGTTAATCACTCTTTCGGTGAAGAAGTACTTCCTTTTATCTTTTCTAACCCGACCGCTCAGCAATTTCATGGAGTGCCCACGAGTTCTTGTATTGTGAGAAAGTACCTCTTTCTCTACCTGCTCTATCCCATGCATAATCTTATAAACCTCAATCATGTCACCCCTCAGTCGTCATTTCTCCAAGCTAAAGAGCCCTAAGCGCCTTAACCTTTCCTCATAGGGAAAGTGTTCCAACCCTTTTATCATTCGAGTTGCCCTTTTCTGCACTTTTTCCAAAGCTATAATATCCTTTTTAAGGTGTGGTGCCCAGAACTGCACACAGTATTCCAAATGAGGTCTCACCATTGATTTATATAGGGGCATTATTATATTGGCTGATCTGTTTTCAATACCCTTCCTAATAATCCCCAGCATAGCATTGGCCTTCTTTATTGCAGTCACACACTGTCTCGACATTTTCAGTGAGTTATCTACTACAACTCCAAGATCTCTCTCTTGATCTGTCTCTGCCAGTTCAGACCCCATCAATGTGTATTTATATTTAGGATTTTTGGCTCCAATGTGCATCACCTTGCACTTGGCCACATTGAACCCCATTTGCCATGTTGACGCCCACTCGCCCATCTTTGACAGATCCCTTTGGAGTGCCTCACAATCCTCACTGGTTTTCACCACCTTGAACAACTTTGTATCATCCGCAAATTTAGCCACTTCACTGCTTACTCCCATCTCCAAATCATTAATGAACAAGTTAAAAAGCAGTGGACCAAGTACTGATCCCTGCGGTACCCCACTGCTTACCACCCTCCACTGAGAAAATTGCCCATTTATACTCACTCTCTGTTTTCTATTAATTAGCCAGTTTTTGATCCATAAAAGGATTTGTCTTTTTATCCCATGATTTTTGAGCTTACTTAGGAGCCTTTGATGAGGAACTTTATCAAAAGCTTTCTGGAAGTCAAGGTAAACAATATCTATTGGATCCCCCTTGTCCACATGTTTGTTCACTTCCGGGTGATGTCATTACACCAGGGACATCACGTGGCGACACTCTGGTTTTTCAACAAACTCTATGGTTTTGAAAGCAAAAGACCATAGAGTTTTGCCAAAAAACCAGTGTTGCATGCAACACCCCCGACATGATGATGTCACTTATGGGTGACACCATTAATGTCGAGGACGTTGCATGCAACATCCCCGGATTGCCCCAATTCCCCCCACCGCAACAGCAAGGGGACCTGGGAACCCTTGAAAGAGCCAGTTTGGTGTAATGGTTAGGAGTGTGCACTCTGATCTGGGAGAACCGGGTTTGATTCCCCACTCCTCCACATGCAGCTGCTGGTGTGACCTTGGGTCAGTCATAAGTTCTTTCAGAGCTGTTTTCTCAAGGGCAGTTTTCAGGAGAGCTCTCTCAGCCCCACCTACCACACAGGGTGTCTGTTGTGGGGAGGGGAAGGGAAAGGGATTGTAAGCTGCTCTAAGACTTCTTCGGATAGTGAAGGGCGGGGTATAAATCCAATCTCTTCTTCTTCTTCTAGCTACTTGCTCTAGTGTGGTGTTCAGAGTAGCTTTTGTGGAAGGAGATGAAAACCAAAATGCCTGAGAACAGGGGTCCCCAACCTTTCTGAGTTTGTGGGCATTTTTGGAATGTTGAGGGGTTGTGAGCACCACTCCAAAGTGGCTGCTGCAAAAGGTGGAGCCAAACTTCAAACGGCTGCTGCACAAGGCAGAGGCAAACACAATTCTGCCCTTCTCACTTCAAACAAGAATCATAAAATGGTTGTAAAAAGAAATGAAGGAAGTCCCAAGGGGAGAGCGGGGAAAAGAAAAGGAAGAATAAAAAGCTTGAAAGGGAAATGGAGCCACACACTAACTTAAGGAAAGCGCAGGTGCTCACCATTACTCCTGTTCCTGTAGTGGCTGTATTGGCTATGACACTGGGAAACCCTTTCACTTGAATGAGGACATCCAATAACAAGCCCTGGCTTACCACAGCCACATCCACTTCCTGAAAGGCTCAGTCACTCTGCTGGAGAAGAACTGGGGGGCTCCATGGCACCCACAGGCACTATGTTGGGAACACTTGCCCTAGCAACATGTTTTGTTTATTTATTTGTTTGTTTGTTTCGACTTATATTCTGCCTTGCCTACCTAGTTCTTGAAGCATTCTCCTCTTTGAAAACAGTAGATTAGATCAAAGGAGGATTTCATGCCAGCAGAAGGGTAGATAATTTTTGCAAATTTCCCCCGTGTTTTACATTCCATGTTGTTCCTGAGGACCCCCTTCCCTCAAGGCAAAGTATTTTGGAGAGCTCAGAGGACTGCAGCAGGAGGGGGTAAGTGTCAAAGTTCTGTTCTGCTGACAGACGATTGGCTTCCACTGGTAGAACACAACCTTTGGAGTCTGCTCCCCTTCTTTGCCATCTGATGGCTGATAGGGTTCCACCCTCACACATAAAGCCAGGCAACCATTTCAATGATTTAAAAATTAGCTTTACAAAACCCCAGAATTATCTGAAGCACAGAATACTTATTTCTTTCCATTTTACACCACTCGCCCAATGGGTCAAGCAAGTATGCCTAAAGTAAATCAATATTTAAAGCTAACCCCTCCATTACAATAAAACTGTACAGAGTTAACTGTCAGTAGAAGCATAAAAGTCAAGTTCCCCCTTAATCCTGGCCACTGAAGGCCACTGTAAATAAAGTCTGGCCTTGCAAGAGAGCAGAGGCAGGCTGAGCCTCAAGCTTCCCATGTGGAAGAGCCCCGCAGTCTAGAGGCTGCCATGGAGACTGCCCCCTCCTGAGCCTCTGAGGAGCTGCCCTGGGGCAAAGGTGCCCGACATGCAAGGAGCAATCATGCATGCAGGGTCTTCTTTGCCACTGAGATCACCAAGCAGTGATCTAAATGGTACCCTTTTGCATACTTGCCAAAATTGGGATGCAAGAATCCATCCCCTCTTAAGCGACACTATCACGTTTCAGCTGTGTTGGGATTCAGGGCCAGGTTCTGGTCAAACACTGGAATACCTTGGGTCAAGTAAAAAAAATCACCATCTGCACACTAATAATATTATGCCCCATGACACGGATGGCCCAGGCTAGCCAAATCTTGTCAGGTCTCGGAAACTAATCTAAGCCCTGGTTGGCCCTTGGATGGGAGACCAGCAAAGGAAGTCCAGGGTTGTTACGCAGAGGCAGGCAACAGTAAGTTCTTTTCTGGCCTCGAAAACCCTACAGGGTTGCTATAACTTGGCTGAAGCTTGACAGCACCTTTCCACCACAACCACCATGTGCCCCACAGACTGGGGAACAGGAGAGGGGGCAAAATCCAATTATGGAAACCCCTCAAAAAAGCCACTGAGGGAAAATGAGCAACGGTTCATCCATTCCGGCCTTCCTGTCTACCTACTGGGTCTCACAGCCATTGTGAATCATCACAGAAAAGAGTTCTCCACTGGCCAAAATGATATGCTGAAGGCAATTCAAAGAGTGACAATCAGTAGGAACTGTGAAGCTCAGAACTAAAACCCCAAGAAGATATAGAAAGACCACACTGTTTGGAAATGCAAAAAGGCAGAGACAGAGATGTATTTCAAGGGAGGCAAAGGTCAAGATTGATGGGAAGCTCCAACGAAGGCGGGTGTTATGTACGTGGACCGCCACCAGGGGTCCGCGGCGCATACAGGAGCTTGGCTCCTGGAACAATGGAAACTTTGGATCCTGGTTTCCCCCAGGCCCAACCAGTAGCCACTTTGGCGGGACATTCAAACCCTCCAATGGGAATAGGGGGTGCTGGGTGGATATGTATATAGTTCGCCCTGTCAGGCCATTAGAGTTAGTCTTAGTTGGAGTGAAGTACAATAAACGTGTGCAAAAGCATGTCGTCGTCTGAGTCCTCCATGCGGCGAACCCAGTACTTTACAACGGGAAGGACAAGACAAAAAGTGACAAACACGGAAGCAGAAACAAGCAAAGTGACACAAGAACTTGCCTGGTGCTGATGGGAGAAGGACCTGATATTCTTACAAGCAAAGTGAATGGGGACCTATTTGCAGGACTGCATTGGAACTCTCACATTCTCAAGGGATGCCTTTTGTTCACCCTTTTGCCTCTTGCCTGATTTCAGTCTAGATTCTAACCAATACTTCACGATGAATTGACTAAGGTTTGAAAAACCACTGGATATTGACCGGGGGG